TTGCGCAGGGTTGGGAGCTGTGGAGGTGGGTCTCGGGGTGCCTTTTTTTAAAAAAAAGAAGAAACGGAACGATCCTGGTTTGTTTCGTCGTGGGGGGGGGAAATGAGGGACCTGTGGGGTAACATCCAGCCCTCCCAACTCGAGGAACAACGAGAGAGCTTTAAAGGAGCCGGGGGAGGGAGGGAGGGAGCGCGCCCGTGCGCGCCCCCGTCCCCGCTGGCTGGCAATGTGGGGGTGGCTGGGCTGGCTGGCTGGCTGGTTGCGCTGCACCGGAGCGGGAACACAACCGGCGCCGAGGTGAGCCCGCCCTCGGTGACAGTTGGGAGCCCCCGAGCTTTGCCTGGGGGGAGCGGGGGCGGGAGAGCTCTTCGTGGGGTGCGCGGAGTGGGCAGTGTGCGTGCGTTGCGAAGCGCGCGTGGGTGGGTGGCCACGACGGGGAACAGGCGTCGGGGTTTTGTGGAATGCGGGCGGGGAGAAGGATTCGAATCGGGAGCTCTGGGCCTGCCGCCGGCCCTGGCGTGGGAAAGGAATTGCAAAGCAGAAGCGAGCCTACACCTTCTCCGGGCCCGGAGATCTAAAATAACTAATTAAATAAATAAGATACAAAAGGAAGAAGGGGATGCTACCTGGTGAAGGTTATGGTAGGAGCCTGGCCTGTGAGCGGCCTTGAAAGCCTGCAGGGGAATCTAGAGTAGAAGATGGTTTCTTTGGGGTGGGTGGGGGTGGGGCCACCAGTATGAGGGGGGGGTTCTTTGCAGCCCAGTACTTTTTCCTACAGTTAAAAAAAAAGTGTGAACGGCAGGTGGTGCCTCCCAGGAGTTCTGGAAGGGAAGTAGAACCTAATTTGTTGGATCAAGGCTCCATCAGCTTTCTGATTCTGTTCCGTCATCTAAGATCTTGGGCATTCGTGAGCAAGGTGGAGAGAACCAGAGAGAATCCACAAATTCTTCCCGGAGCTGCCTCATCAGTTTTTGTTTGTTTGTTTTCTTTTTTGGCCTTCTGGATCTGGCTGAGCTCTTCACCATAATAAAACAGCTTTTTCCCAATCTGGCATCCTCCATATATATGTTCAACTGTTACTCCCGTTGTTCCCAGCCAACTCTGGGAATGATGGGAATTGTAGGCTAGTCCATAGGGAGAATACCAGGTTTGGGGAAAGCTAGAATAATGAATGCTGCCATATGAGACTTGCCAGGCAGTGCCAGGCACATGTCTCACTCCCTCTCCACCCCCACCCCCTCCCCACATGCTGCCTTTCAGTGTTGTTAAGCAAGAGAAAGCATCCCTTAGAGGTCACATGTGTTGACTGTGTGGTGTGCAACCCTGCCCCCCTGGGCCTTTCACTGTGTCTGTGAGCTAGGACGTTACTTCCAGTTCAGGCATGGATCTTGTCTAGATTTCTTCTTTCCCAAATGTAACTTTCTTAGGTTATGCCTAAGTAAAAAATGGAACAAGCAACTTACCAGGGTATAGAAGTCCTGGCCCATGTTAGATACTATGTATCCTTTATGGATAGCCACTTCATTTGAGGTTCAAACACTTTATTTTCCATTTAACCAAATTACATGCCTGAACTATATGTCTGTTAAGACCTGCTGAGAGCTTTAGTACTCTTTCACAAACTACATAATAACACTCTAGCCTAACAAGGCTGGATTAAATCAGTTGTCACTCCTCTTTCTGACCTTGACTGACCTCCCAGCTAGCAGAAGGTCAAGGTGGGCTTCCTTCAGTTTTATCCTTGACCTTTATTGGCACTACACAGACAGCCTTTGTCTTTACCAGCGGTTCGATCCCCACGACAACTTCTGCAATCACCCTAGGGCTTGAGGGGGACCAAATTAGGGACACAGATGCCATTGTCTTCTTCGGTTGACCTCCTGACTGCTTCCTAGGAATAAAAGAAATAATGCAGTTTGTGGAGCAAGGCACAAGGTGACTTCACTCACAGCAAGTTAATGGATTTCCTGCTAGTGTTGCCTAAGGGGGAGGGCTCATTCAGAAAGCAGCAGAGGGAACAACCAGACCCCTCTGTGAGTTGGATTTTAGCGTCATGGGCCTGAGATTGGCCCCCCCACCCAGTTATTTTTTGGGCCCAAACCCTTAGCATTCTCAAACCAGGATGGCTGGTGCAGGGGGGCTTTGGGGGAGTTTTAGCCAAAAAAGTAACATTTCCAAGTTATGTCCAGTTTTTGTTTTTTTTTTAAATGAAACTGCAATCTTGCCAGTATGCCACCAGGGAAAGAGGAATCTGGGCCTTCTGGGAGCATGTTGGTGGACCAGCCATTGCAAAATATATAAATAAATAAAGTTTCTGTTTCTCTGTTTGCACTCTAGTTTCCAGACCCCTGGTCAGCAACAGGTTCGGCCAGAGGGTGCTCACCATATCCTTTATGAAATGGCTGCTAAGGTCACTTTTTTTAAAATTCCAGCAACTCCTGTTATCGCAGCTCTTATTTCCTGTTACCATGGCCTACTTTAGCTTTTAGATGAACTAATTGGAGACTAATTGTGGCCCAAAGGCTCCAGTTTCATTGTGCCATCTTATTTGCACTTTCTCATCTCTAAGCTTTAAGGTCCTGGCCCTCTTTAAATATATTTGAGAAAGGTGGGAGAGCTGGGAGAATTAGATATGGTCAGATATATGTGCTTATCTAAACTTTAAAGAAACTGGGATGTCAGTGTGATGAGATCCTTCAGAGAGAATTGCTTTTGTTCACCTTCTGTTTTGATGGATCATGGCTTAATATTTGTCCATGGTCTTTATCATTACAAGGCTGTCTATCTTGTAGAAGTGCTTTTATTTGGACATTTTCTGGTGCTGTGTGTTAATTGGGATCACATTAGGCATGTTGTTGTTTATGTTTGATTTAAGCAACTGTCTCTTACTTCCAAGTAGCAGACCTTTACATGACACATTTTTTGTGTGTGTTAGTCACTTGGAGGAAAAATTGAAACTGCCTCTTTGGCTGTTACATTAGTATCCACTTAATGATTAGTGACTAATTGCTTTTATGAAGCATTACATTTTTAGAAATAGAAGACTTTCCACATGACAGTGCTGATGGAGTACATTTGTTGTGGCACTTAGGAAATTTCAATTCCTAAGTGGATACAAGGATAGAGCTACCTTTGTGATGAAATTAGAATTGTTTATGATAAGTATTGGATAGAGGGGTACGCAGGTGAAAGAATCTATAGAGACTTTACATCCCTGGTTCATACATGGAGCAAAGAAATACAGTATAACAAAAATGGGAAAGTTACTTGCTGAATATCTTAAATGGCTGATAAGTACAGATAATGCTTAAATTAGATTACATATTCTGACCACAATTGTTTAGAAGGTATTGATGAAAAGCTAGAAACATGAAAATATTAAGTAACTTATGAATTATAGTTGGTCTATATAATTAAGAGTGGCTTGAATACAAGATCAATACAGGTTTAAGTTTATATATTGACAATTTATGTATGTTAATCTTTGGGGTTTATGTAGTCAAAATTACTGTATATATCAAACGGATATGGCCTAGAGATGTTTAGTAGGGCAATATGGTTTGTGCAGTTAGTATTATATGTTAGATGGATATATGGAAAATATTCTCCCCGATTATGTATTCTGTGTTTGTTTTGTATGTTTGTTTGTGTTATTAATTAATTAAAAAAAGAGAAAAAAAGGAACCTGTTCCTCCATATGTTGGGGCACAGTTCCCATCTTCCAGGACCATTGGCTCTATTGGCCAGGGCAGATGATGGTCCCTATCAAAGAGCTGGAGGAGGACATAGAAATGCCTTGGTGACAAATGTTAGGTGAGGATAGTTCTATATGATCATTGTAGGGAAGGTGGAGAAATAATGATGCCTGAAAATAACCCGTTGTCTTCTTGCTGTGGCTGGTAAGCATTGCCTCTAGGTGACCAGCCAGGGAAAACTTGATGAACTGGAAAACAGAGAGTGTGAGTGTGTATCCTTCAGTCTGTTTTACTACAACTAATGAAAAAAGAAAACTACGTGGGTGGGCATGACAGTGTGAAAATGTTGCAGGCTAGTAATTTCTGTGGCTTTTATTTTCAAGGCTGGCTTGATTTGCAGAAAGTGTGCCTTTCAATGTAGGAAAATGCCTTCTGCTTGAAAAAGATGGTTCCATTGGAAAAAGTTTCCATGGGCTCTTAAATTCACACATCAAATATGTATGTGTGGATGAGCTGTCGCAGAAGCAATAACGTGAAGAGAATTTTTATATCCCTGTACAGTACTGTATATCACTTCACAGTACTCAAGACCATTATGTGACTGCATGTATAAACCCATGTTGAGTCATTAGAAAGTTTAAAATCAGGAGGTTGAGTTAGAGGGAGGCATAATTCGTCATCCATACAGTATTTAAAGAATGTATGTCCCAGCTTCCTTCTGTGAATGGCACACAGACCAGACTAGAAAAATAAGACATGTACTCATAACAAAATTAAAGCATACTTTTTAAGAACACATCAATAGAAGGGAAACATGAGCTGCTCAATTAAAGGTGTTCTCCTGCGTGTACGATCAGTTGCTATAGGACTGCCTCAGTAAGAAAGACTTCGTATGTAGACCTGTAGGTGTGGGTGGGTGTTTTCTGGATCCAGTGTAACCTCCCTAGGTAGGGTGTTCCAGAACTGGGCAGGAAACTGAAACACTTGGCCCTCTAGATTTCATTGGCATCCCAGCCAACACACCCGTAGTCAGGGATGCTGGAGATAACTCAGCAGTATCCAAGGGGCGATAGGTTCCTATGTCAGCATCAAAAGACTGTGACTAACAAGTCTCCATGCGGGGAGTGAGGGCTGCTTTAGACTCCTCGGACAGGCTAGGATAAAAGGACTCGTTTTTCCCCAGTTCATGATCCTTTCCACTTTCATAGGACTTGTCCTTTGACACCAGCTGGACAGAAGAAACCAGGTCCTGCACTGTTGAACCTGCGGCCATGGGGAACATTTTTGGCAACTTGCTGAAGAGCCTGATTGGCAAGAAGGAGATGCGCATCCTTATGGTGGGGCTGGATGCAGCTGGGAAGACCACCATCCTCTACAAACTCAAGCTGGGAGAGATTGTCACCACCATTCCCACTATTGGTATGCTTGCCGGCGTTCAGCATGGGGGAAGTGTGTGCTTTCTCCCTGTCTTATCAAAAGTGGGGAATTGGAGTCATGATGGTTGCATGGTTGAAATTGGTCACGTGACTGTCGCTTCAAGTCAGCAATTTAAGCAGGTGCTTTGCTCCCTTGCAGAAGATTTTATGCCCTGCCTTCCTTTATTGCACTTGGCATTTGATTTCAGTTCTTGGCAAGTGAGGTAGTGGAGGGGTGACTTGTATGCTGGAGCAGTTTCCTTATTGTTTTTTCCTGTCCTGACAGGGGTGCACAGTGGGCTAAATTAGTCTAATTTACAGAACTGGGAGCAGCTCGATGGAAGTGAAACTGAAACACACACACAGTGGACATGCACATCCTACTCCACCCATGATGCCAGGGAACTTGTCTGTCCTTGATTTACTATTGACGTCCTAAGGTTCATCTCCTACTTTGGAAGGGGATTGTGTAGGAGGGCAGGGTCTGCCCAATAGCCAAGGTTGTATCCCAGGTTAGAAGTGGAACTGAGTGCTTTGGAAAGTGCTCAACTTAGCTTTAGCAATCCGAGCACATTCTGCTGCTCTTAGAGGCCCATTTGGAAGAGCCCTGCCAATTCACACCCAATGATCTCTCTGGACCAGACACTTGCTCCCAGGCACGAGCAGGGGGCAGAGATAACAGTCTTTCCCTGTTGTTTGCCTCCCAGTGTCAACTGCTCAAGGATACACTGCTTCTCAACATGGAAGTTCCATTTCAGCCATTATGGCTGCTTAGCTTCCATCTGTCATTGTAATCTCTGGATTACTGTAAGACTGGTAGAATAGTTTTTACCTTTAAAAAATAAAGACAAGTGAATTTTGCAGGTGCAGGGGAAAATGTGGGGACTTAGCATTCTCCTGAGCTAAAGGCTCAAATTCCATTAGCAGAAAATCAGGAGTCCAAAGGTGTTTTATGTGTGAGTTGGCTCTCTACCCTTTGCTGTGCAATCCCCATGTGTCAGGGGTGCTTGCACGGCAATCCTGTGGAATGGAGCTCTTCATGTTACAGTAGTGCTTTAAGGATTGCATTTCTGGGCTTCTGTCCAGTTGTTCTGAATGGGATGATTCATGAGAATCCTTGTTCCTATGGGCTATCGAGCTGCTTTTGACTTATGGCAACTCTGCAAATTAGTGGCCTCCCCAAAGTCCTATTGTTAGGTCTTGCAAAGGCTTTGGTTTCCTTTATCGAGTAAGCCCATCTCATGTTAGCTCTTTCTCATTTCCTGTTGCCTTCCACTTTCCTAACATGATTTTTTTTCCTACTGAGTCCTGTTTATTTGAGACATGTCCAAAGTATACCAGATGAATTTTAGATTCTAGTGAGCATTCAGGCTCAATTTAGTCTAGAGCCTATTTAGTTGTCTTTCTGGTGGTCCATGATATCCGTAAACCTCGTCCTTCAACACTATACTTTGAATTAATTGATATTTTTCCGTGTCAGCATTTTTATCGTCTAGTTTTCATGTGCAAGTCATGGGAATTCCGTAGTATGGAAGGCATTGGTTTTTGTCTCCAGCAACACATCCTTACATCTGAAGATTTTTTTTCTAATGCTTCCTAGCTGCCCTTCCAAGCCCAAGTCTTCTTCTAGTGTTTTGGCATTTTGCTTGAGGATAGAGGTGAGGTAAAAAAAATCTTTGTCAATTACAATGTTTCAATTGTCGTTAAATTTATGTAACACCTTTGTTCTTGTTTTCATTTTCAATTGTAATCCTGCTTTGTACCTTCCTCTGTAGTGGTTTCAAGTCATTGGTGTTTTCTGCTAGAAATATAATGCCATCTGTACATGTTAAATTATTGATGCCTCTTCCACCAGTTCCCATATGAATCTCATTCAGCTTTTCATATGATACGTTCTATGTATTGATCAAACAGGCAGGTAAGTAAAATGTCTACTTGCGTGACATCGTTGTCATTTGGGAACCATTTTGGCTCTCCCTAATTTGTCCTGACAGTAGCTTTTTGAACAGATTATAGATTATGCATCAGGACAATCAAATGTTGTGGCACAACCTCTTTTTTTTTTTGAACGATCTGTAGCATTTCATGATCCACACAGTCAAAGACTCTACTGGCTCTACTGTAATCTCTAAGCACAGGCTATCTTCTGAAAGTTTTGGTTTACTTCTGATAGTAATTGTGTTCCATCAGGTGGATCCTGACTTAGAACAGCCCTTCCCAGGATTTTCTAGATATAAAGTACTCAGAAGTGGTTTACCATTCTCCTCTTCTTGGGGCACTCTGGGGATGTGTGGTTTGCCCAAAGCCACATAGACTTGCTGTTGTCCTAAGATAATTGAACTGAGCTCTAGTTTCACAGCCAAGTACTTGACTCACTGTGCTGCCCAAGTACCATAAATTTGCAATATGATCTGTAGTATCTCCAACTTTTCTGAATCCAGCTTGAATATCCAGCATTTTTGTTCCATATGTGGTGATTGTCTTTGCTGCAAAATCTTGAGCATCACTTTGCTTGTATTAATAATTAATGTGATGCTCCTTTAGTAATTGTATTCTTTGTGGCCTCTTTAGGGAATTTGCATAGATATTGAATGGCTTCAGTCTGTGTGCCATTGACTGAAATTGTGTTTCAAAGTTACACCAGTGACATAACTTTTGGAAGCCAATTGCTGTTAAGCAATCTCTTTAGGCATCATCTGTTGCATACTGAGTCATGCAACTTGTTCTGCAACTGATGCATATGGAGATTTCTTAGCTTAACAATACTTTGCCCCAAAAGGTATGCTGTCCGTATAACTGCAGCAAGATTTCAGATGTTGTTTTGTTTTCCATATTTATTCACATATTCTCATTAGGATTTTAGCATAATCTGTCTCAGTAGGTTGAAATAGCTTTGTTGGTATCCTATTCCTGGTGATTTCTTTCTTTCAGTTGTTTTGAAGGCAGTTTTCACACACTTTCTAATGTTGCTTGTTCATCACAAAACTTTTCTTTGGACAAATACACTATCTTTGCTTTTCTGCTGTGTAGTTATTCAATGAGTGTGTCAGAACTTGATTGTCCTGATGTATAACTTGTATTGTGGACAAGACAATACCACTAGGACAAAATACAGAGAGACAGAATGGTTTCCTGTAAACAAAGATGTCAGACAAAGGTACATTTTATCCCATTGTCTGTAAACAAAGGTGTCAGACAAAGGTACATTTTATCCCATTGTCTTTTTAATATGTACACAGAACGTATACAGACAGGCAACCTATATTCAGATGACAGAGGAGTGAAAATTGGTGGAAGAAACATTAGTAATTTAAGATAGGCAGATGACACCATTTTACTGTCAGAAAGCAACGATCACTTGAAATGACTTTCAGGGAAAGTGAAAGAAAATGGCAGAGTAGGACTGCAGTTGAATGTAAAAGTTGTGTAGAAGAACTACACAACTTTAGCACTGACAATGAAGAAATTGAAATAGTGAAAGATTTTTTTATACCTTGGTTCAATCATCAATTCAAATGGAGACTGCACCTAATAAATCAGAAATCTGAGACTAGAATGTGTGGCAATGAAGGAATTAGAAAAGGTCATCTAGTGTAAGGATGTGTCACTGGCGACGAAGATCATCCACACTCTTGCGTTTCTAGTCATTGGTGTGAAAGCTGAACAGTTAAGAAAGCTGGCACTGGAAAAAAATTGATTTGTTTGAAATGTGTGCTGGAGGGGATACTGGAGTGCCAGAAAGATGAACAAGAGGGTTCCTGATCAAATCAACCCTGAACTATTTCTGGAGGAAAAAATGTTGAAGCTGGGGCCGTCCTACTTTGGATGCATCATGAGAAGATAGGATTGTCTGGAAAAGACAATAATGCTGGGAAAGGTGGAAGGCAGTAGGAAAAGAGGAAGACCAAATAGGGGATGGATTGACTCTCTAAAGGAAGCCACAGGGTTCGGTTTTCAGAACGTGAACAGGGCTGTTGAGGGCAGGACATTTTGGAGAATTGCTCATTCATAAGTCGGTGGCCACTTTGATGGCAAACAACAACAACCAAGTTATTCAATATATTGTTTCCATCTTCTTTTTATTATATCCTGGTCACCAAATGTAGTTGTCTGTTGATCTTTCATCATGCCTAATCTTGGATTTAAATTTCTCTTTGATTTCTTGCATCTTGTGGGAGAGGACTCTTGTTTTTCTGCTTTATCATTCTGTTCTGTTTCTTAATAATGATCATCATAGATATTTTTGTTGCCTTTCTCGCTTACAGTCAGTTGACCTTAGTAATGCAAATTTGTTCTTTATGTAGTCTTTAAATTTTTCAAGAATGTTAGTTGAATTATATTTTGACATTATGATTCAGTGGTCTTAATTCAGTTTTATTCTAGTTTTTTATATTAAGAGTTCATGGTGTGTACCACAATCCACTCCTAGTCTCCCCCTCCCCCCCCCAAAAAAAGAAAATGGAACTTTTTCATCTTCTGCCTCCAGTTTTAAAATCTGTTTGATTTCTCTGTTGGCCATTTGATGACATCCATGTGCACAGGCATCTGTTAGGTTGCCTAAAGATGTATTTGAAATAATGAAATTCTGTGAATTATTCCCCTTAATTTCTGTTTTCCAAGCAAAATTTTGCAACAGTGTTTAGTTTTGCTTTGATCCCAAGTTTTGCCTTGAAGTCACCTATGATTATCAGCACATTCTGTTTGGGTCTGTGATCCTCCTGGACACTTGCATAAATAGTTTTTGATTTCTTGTAATTGGACCATGAATAATGGTTATGCTGATAGGATTTTCAAGAAGTCTGATATTGCTTAGTCTGTTTTTTTATTATAGCAGCCAGTTGCTTCTAGTATGCCTTACCTCAGTATTAGAGCCACACTGTTATCTTCTAACTTCGTTGTTTTCTGAATAAACACTTTGTTATTATCTGATCAGACATGTTTTGTTCCATGTCCATTTTAATTCACTTACGCCAAGTATTAAAATGTTTGAATGTTCATTTCTGGTTTTACGTTTTCAAACTTACCCTGATTCATATTTTTCATAATCCATGTTCCCATTATATGTATTCTGGAATACTGAACTTGTGTTTTGCCTCTACAGATCAGCAACTAGTCCTTGTGGCTAATTGAGTTACTTCATCAGCAGTGGCACTATCCTTTGCTCTTCCCCCATAGCTGAGTTCATTCTGACTTGAGAGTCTTGGAGTCTTCCAGCACTATCTCCCATTTTATTGTGGGTTGTCTCATATGGAGGTGTTTGAGATATAAATCATTTAACAGTGGCTTATTTTTGCCTTTTTCTATACACAGGATGGTTTTGATTTTAATCAAATTGATTTAAATCATGATTTAAATCTGTGCTAACATGAATTAACTTCAGTGTCACTACGGTTTCCTATGAGAGGTTCTCTGCCCCATCACCCTTGGAATTGTCAGTTCTCTTTTGCTAATGCAACCATTATTTCCTGAAGATGACGGATAGATCCTAGTTGGTGTCTCAGCTCTCATTGTTCCATCTTGGGGTGACTCTGCTTCATGACTAGACTTATAACGAAGTCTAGCTTCCTGATGTTTTTTTTAAGTTGTCTTGACATACTCAAAATCCCCTCTCTGTTAAGGTGTGGATCTAAGAGAGAATGAAAAATACTTAAGAATTAATACTAAAATGCATGGCTGTCTGAAACATACTTTTAATCTGTAGGTAGGGTCCTACTTGGAAGGCAGTGATTTTGGTCAGCGCAGACTTAAACTTGTCCTTGGTGACCCATTCTCCAGTGCTCTTGGACACAGAAGCTAAGGAATAAAGTCGCAGTTGCTAGGAGCCTTTAAATTCGATGCTGGAAGCTACTCAGATAGCATCAGAAGGCAAAACAGGTCTGACAACGATGTCTTGGGCCTAACGTGGTGGCACTCATAGATGATAAGTCACTATACTGGATATGTTCTCCTTGAGTGGTGTAAACTGGCTATGACCTGTGAAATGTCTAGCGCTAGTTTCTGCCCTTCAGTGTCCCCTTTATAAGGTATGGTTCTTGACCGTCATTGGTCTCCAGGGAGAGATGCAGTCAGGGCTGTGCAGAGCTAATTTCTGACCTTGTTCTTTTCTTTCAGGATTCAATGTGGAGACAGTTGAGTACAAGAACATTAGCTTCACTGTGTGGGACGTTGGTGGCCAGGATAAGATACGACCTCTGTGGCGGCATTATTTCCAAAACACCCAGGGTAGGAGGAATGTGTGTGTGTGTGTGTGTGTGTTCTGACACTGGAGATTTCCAGAATGTCTTTTGCTCTCTTGTCTACTTCTTACATGCTCACTGATTTCAGGACTTAACATGCATTTTGCTTTACCTTGAAGCAACATCTCCGTTTGTATCATTGTTGTCACCTGTCATAGCCAGCAGGGACAGCTGAGGGGCCTAACGCTGAGAGAGGCCCGGAAAGAAAGAACAAGAAACCGGGCCTTCTTGACAGTGGCCCCTCGGCTCTGGAACAGCCTCCCAACAGAAATCCGTCTGGCACCCTCGCTGGGTTTTTTACAAGCCATTTAAAAACTTGGCTCTTTAGGCAGGCTTTCCCTCCAGTCAATCAACTGATCTCTATTCTTTCTCTTCTAAATTATTTCATCTTGGCAATGATTTAAAATAAGTGTGAAAATTATGGTGTTTTAAATGATTTTTATGATATTTGTTATATTGTGATGTTTTTATTATGTGTGTAAACCGCCCCGAGTAGATTTTGTCTAGGGGTGCGGGGTAAAAAAATCTAATAAAAGTAATGTAAAGTCAAGTTGTTTTTTCAAAGGTAAATCTAGAGAGTATAGGTATAACTTTTGATTTGTGCATTTCAGAAGAAGCAGTCATAGGGTAAAAAATCTAATAAAAGTAATGTAAAATCTAGAGAGTATAGGTATAATTTCTGATTTGTGCATTTCAGAAGAAGCAGTCATTTAAACAATTGTCTTTGGTGTATGGATCTCTTGGTTCTTAATAAAAGCATAGAATGACTCTTATCAATGGCTCCTCCTCAAACTGAGAGGAGTATTACAAGGCTCGGTCCGGGTCCCTGTGCTTGTCAACATTTTCATTAATGACTTGGATGAGGAGCACAGGGAGCACTTAATGAATTTACACTTGGCATAAAACGGAGTGAAATAACAAATACCCTGGAAGACAGAAACAGTTTCAAAAATTTCAAATTCAAAAAGATCTTAATAGGCTCAAGTAATGGGCTGAAAACGAGAGAGTGGAATTCAGTAGAGATAAGTGTAAAGTTCTGCACCTAGGAAAAAGAAACCAAATGCAGAGTTACAAGAAGAAGGATACATGTAGATCACAAACTGAATATGAGCCAATAGTGCAATGCAGCTGCAGAAATGGCAAAGACTATTTACGCTGCATTAACAGAAATGTAATCTCCACACTAAATGAAGAACTAAGTTCCCCTCTATTTGGCACTGGTTAGACCTCATCTTAGTCCTGTGTTCAGAGTGATGCTGTGAGGGTGATCATGAGTGGAAACCAAGCCCTATGAGAAAAGACTGGAAGAACTGGGCTATTTATCTTTGATAAAAGAAGGCTGGGCGGGGGGAGAGATGCAATAGCATTCTTTAGACGCCTGACAGGTTTTCATATAGAAGAGGGGCAGGATTTGTTCTCAGTCATTCCAGAGTGTAAGATAGGTAATAATGGTTTCAGGTTACAGGAAGTCAGTTGAATATCAGGAAAAACATCCTAACTGTTAAAGCGGCACAACAATACAGTAGAACCAATCACCTCCGGAGGTGGTGAATACTCCAACCCTGGAGAGATTTAGACAACCCTCTGTCAGATCTGCTTTGACTTGCATTTCTCTCTTGAGCAGGGAATTGGACTCGATGGCCTTATAGGCCCCTTCTAACACCACTGCTCTATGATTCTGTGATTGTGAGGAGGAAACAGGGTCACAAGGATGTGACTAAGAAGTTTGGGGTTCGGACTGGAATTATCGGATAGAAATATAATATAAACATTGAAGAAGTAGAGTAAATAGGAAGTAGATGTGGATTTTAGAAGCAAGACAAGGAACTGCTTGTCTATGACAAGTTAAGAATTCCCTCCAGGTGATTAAAAAGAAAGACATTCCTCCTTTGTTCTACCCAAAATTTTCCTTGGAAGAATAGGTGTTTAGCAGAACCAGGCAGTTAAAAAATGTCAGAATCTTCCACTTTTTCACTTGTATTCTCTGTCTTGCAAGACTGATGTAAGATGACATCCTTGTGGAAGAGCTCTACGCAGAGTCACTTCCAGGCCTGTGGTGTTAGTATTTCCGGCACTGCAGAGTCAGTACTTAGTAACAATCCATCGGCCTTCAGTTTCTTGGGCTCAGCATACTGGCCAGAACCTCTTGCTGGAAAACGGAGGCAAACTGGCTGATTTGAAAATCTTAGTTAAATCGTGTTATATTATTGACTTGTTTAGTCAGCTAATGTTCTTGGACAGTGGAGAGGGTTTGACATTTGGGTGTATTTTTATTCATTGGCACCTGCAGTTTGAGAACCAGGTCAGTCCGACTGATTGACTTTTGCAAAATAAGGAAGCAAGGGAAACAAACACACTTGTTACTATCAGCTGAAAATCCCTCAAAACTAGTAAAGGCTGCTAATAAGGCAGTCACTTTTGTAGGCTTCTTGTTCCATTACAGGCAAACACAACTTCCACACTTTGCTTAGAAGAAGTCTGTCTCTAAAACAACTGCCCGTACAAGCTTCCTCCATCCTAGGCTTGTGTTGATGCTTTCTCTTTTTCAGGTCTGATCTTTGTGGTGGACAGCAATGATCGGGAGCGAGTCAATGAGGCACGCGAGGAGTTAATGAGGATGCTGGCAGAGGATGAACTGCGCGATGCTGTTCTCCTTGTCTTTGCTAACAAGCAGGTTAGTCCGGAGTGTGAGAAGGAGCCCCGGAGATGAAAGGTAGTAACAAAATTAGACTCTCGGGGGACAGAGGCGCTCTCCCCAGTTGGCCTGACAGGTGTCTTGCTCAAGCCAGCATCTTCTTGGGGAACGGTTTGATTAGGACAGTAACCTGGATGGGATTACCCCAGTTGTTTGGTTCAGCTGGGATGGGCCATCCAGATGTTGCTGGACTGCTGTGCTAATGGGAACTGTAACGTTCAGCCCTGCCCTCACCTGTCCGTCACAGCTGAGCAGTGGAAAAGGAGCCAATGAGGGCACGGAAGGAGGTGCAAAAGGGGGAGGGGCTGGGATATAAAGGAGTGTATGGCGTATGTGAGGGGGAGTTCTGTGAGTCTGAGAGACAGGGTGCCAGAAAGTCAGTGAGAGTTAGAAGCTGTGTGTTAGTGAGTTCAGTGAGTGAGAGAAATTGATTATCAACTGGTGATTTTCTTATTATAGTTTACTGATCAAATAAACAAGTTTTAGTTTTAAAGTAACACTGGTCTCTCTGAGTAATCGATATTGAAATAGAAATAGTGGTGGCAGCTACTAGAGAAGAGGAGTGAGCATTCCTGGAGGCCTAAGACAATAGAGGCTCAAGCGTGCTCGTTACAATAAAATCAGTCCATCAGCATCCATAGGGCTCCCTGTTTTCTACCTTTGTGATAAAGGCTTAGGATAGAGGTTCTAAATCTGAGCATAGAGAAAAGAATGATAATTTTCTTGTCCAGCCCTGAAAACACCCACCCTGACCCCTGTTTGTGATCACCATGTAACCACTGTGCCTGTGGTTAACTTAAACCAAATCTAAGTTGAATTCCTCAGCTCACGTCGTCTTTTCCATTCATGCAATAATACGTAACATATTTTCAACATGAGGTGCACTGTGTGTGCAACAGACGTGGTAGGCTGTAGAGCACAAGCGTGTGTGCCCTTGCTCTGCAGAGAGGCACCCTACAACATCCGTGCCACACACCATGCTTCCTGGAAGGAAAACCTAGTTTTTTCCAAGCTGTACTTCATATCGGCTTCGTTCCCATATGAATGTCTGGTGTGAAAGGAATTTATCATATATAATACAATAATTAGAACTACAAAACTGGAAGGGACCCTATGGATCATGGAGTCCAGCCTCTGTTAAGAAGTCACAGTTGGGAATCAAACTCCCAACCTGTGTCTCTGACATGGGGTTGAAGAGACCCAAGATAGTGTAATGGTTTGAGTGTTGAACTGGAGGTTGGGTAATTCAGCTGTTAGTCCCCCCCCCCACTCAGTCATAAAACCTATCAAGTGGATTTCTGTCGTCCCTTGTTGGGTGATGAACAAAGAGATGGGGAGAGCTGTGTAGGCCTCCTTCGGTCCATGGATTGGAAATAGGGTGGGATACATAAATGTAAGATTTGGTGGTTGTCTTTAAAAGGCTGTGTACTGCAGGGACATGAGGTGGCATTGCACAGGTAAGGCTCATGTGTCCAGGCTGTTCCCATAAATAGAAGGAGCAAGATAAATTATTCAAAGTAGACACCTAGCTATTGTAGGAAGACCTGTCCCAAGGGAGCCTAGGGTGAATGAGGCAGGAAGGGATGGTAAGCTCACCAGGAAGGCCACAGCACCAGGGGCAAGAACTGGTTTCCCCTTATATAGGTGCTTTGCTTTGTGTGGTGAGGTTGCCACAGTGAGCATGCAGCTTGTATCCAGAAATGCTTCAGAGCGGCCTTGATGGAACTAGTTTGGTTGCCTCAAGGGAAAAATCATGGATGCCGAAGGGCAGATCTCAAGGACACCTTCTCTCCCCCCCCTTTCCCCCTCCCTGCAGTTTTCTTTCCTTCAGTTTGGTGTATCTGAAGAAGTAGTGCTTCTGTCCATAGGAGCTGAGGCCAGTTAAAAACTGACTTGTTTTTAACAAAATTCTTGTGTTTCCTGTATCAGACTAACTAAACTATTTCATTGGAAACGAAGAAAACTCACCAAAGGCAGGGATGGTACCCAGTGTGTGTGTGTGTGGGGGGGGAGTCAGAAGTGGTTCCTCTCTTCTGCTGCGTCTCACTTCTCCTCCTTCTCTTCTTCCCTTTTTGTTTTTGTTTTTGTTTTTGTTGTTGCCTTCTCTTCTTCCCTTTTTTTTTGTTTTGTTGTCTCTCCCGACTCCTCCAGGATCTCCCCAATGCCATGAACGCACTCTCCCGACTTCTCCAGGATCTCCCCAATGCCATGAACGCAGCAGAAATCACTGACAAGCTGGGCCTCCACTCGCTGCGCCATCGCAACTGGTACATCCAAGCCACCTGCGCCACCAGCGGGGACGGCCTCTATGAGGGCTTGGATTGGCTGGCCAACCAGCTGAAGAACAAGAAATGAGTGCAGGAAGGGGGTGGGCTAAGCCCCTCACTGTTGGTTCCAGTTTGGGTTGAAACCCCCCCTCCCCAGCCCCCCCTCCCCACCTTTCTTTCCCCTGTTGGATTTGCTTTTCCTCGCCGGCACCGGTTGCTGAGGGGGTGGGGTGGGGTGAACTTTTGGTTTCTTCTCTCTCTTTTTCTCTCTTTTTCTCATGTCCTTGCTCAGCCAGGATATATAATTTTTTTTGCACGGTCTCTGTGTGTGCGCGTGCGTGTGTGATAAATATATATATAGAGATAATAAAATATATGGGTGTGGTGGGAGGGTTGGGGCAAGTAGGGGTTGGACGCTGATTCTGTGGCCTTTTCTCTCTCTCCCCCCCCTTTCCCCCCCTCTTTTCCTGCCCTCAATTTCTATTTTTGTTGGTCGGTTTTGTATTTCTTGGTGGTCTGTGAAACTTGGCTCTCTTGGACCAGAGGTGACCAAATACTCAGTGGCAGCTGCTTCTTCGTGCTTTTGTGTACTCTTGGTATGTGGGGGGGGGCAAGGGGAGAGAAGGGTCCTGGGCATTGGGGAAGCAGCAGTGTGGGCAGAGAGGTGCAGAAACTGATGAATACAAGGTGGAGGCATCCTTGGGGAGAGGGCTGCCGATGAGCCAGTGGTCCTTTTCCCCCCTTTAGGAGCATGGGGGGGGGCAGGCGTACTTCATTCCATCCCTCAAAGTCAAATTTAGTCCCTGCTGTGCTGTGCTTGTCCTGGGCAGCACCCCCTGCTGGCAACAAAGAGATTGCAGCTCTACTGAACATTCTGCTCTTTTTCTTGCCTCCTCCCATCCATTCCTCACCCTGTTACACCCTCCTCGGTGTCTCATGCAGTTTGAGACTCTTATGCTGCTGATAAACTGAACTGTATGCATTCCGACCCAATGGTGCTTGTAAGAGCCCGTATGCCTGTCTTGAGCCCCATGAATTCCTTTTGATGCTTTCCGTTTTCCCCCAAAAGCAGATCAGTATTGATGGGCACTGGTATAGGGTGCTGTGGGAGATAAAGGACCAACGCTGTCAAAAACTACCTTCGCAGATGCCCCATTTTCATGCTTGCCCAGTCCAGATTGCACTTTCCATTCCGAAGGATGTGTGCCTGCACGTGCCAGGTGAGGGTGGGGATCCCAGCTGCTAAATGTCTACCAACCTGCTTTCCGTTTCCTTTGGAAACGCTTCTCAAGGATGGCTTTTTTCACTGCATCCTACAGCATGGGTTTTATCCCATTGGACAGGTCACACCCTCCTTCCTCTCCTACTCACAGACATGAAGTCTGGCTCTTGAAAAGGTCATTTTCCTTGCTGGGAGAAGTAGGGGAGTCCCTTTTTCCCCCTTCTTAATTTGAGGGTGGAGGGGTGTGTGTGTCATGATTGTATTAGGGTCAAACCCAGGTCACTGCATGTAAACTTTCTGGTCACTCCTTGCCTCTGGACAGTGTTGGTACTGTGTATTTCTTTCCCCTACCCCCTTCTGGCAAATACGTATTTACTCCTCTTTTTTCTCTCCTCCAGCTACCCTCTCCCCATCCTGCTCCCTTTGCTTGGTGTAAAGTGGTTTTCTCCCTCCCCTCCCTTCGCCCTTTCTAATTTGTTCATTCTCCGGGCCATGGCTCCCTATACGTGTTTTTTCTTGGGGACCCCCCCTGAACATTTGGATGCACCACAACCTCTGTGCACCCCCATTGGATATTAAACTTGTTTTATGTACTTGCTGGCTGTGGTCTGGTGTTTGCAGGGAGAGGCAAAACTCTATTGCGCATTACAGGTTGTTTTTTGCTTTTGGGCCCCACCGTTCAGGAGTTGCAAAGGCTGAGAACAACAAAATAACATCAGGATACAAAATAATTACCCTTTGAAATGGAGTCTGTACACCTGTTCCTTCTTCTTAGCCCAGTGCATTTTAAAGGTTTTTCAGTACATTTGCTAGTGTGAACTATGGTGTTGAGTAACAGGACTAAGATTTTGTAACCTGCCCCACTTTAACCCCCCCCCAAAGAAAAGAAAAGAAGCCCCTTATAGTCCCTTGAGTAGACTCTCTGTGTTCGTTAATTATTTCTTTTAATGGCCTTTTCAGACCGCTTCCCTGCCTGCCCCCTCCCATAGTACAAGGTGCTTCCTTTTGGCTGGGGTTGCTGTGGCTAGCTTAGAAGGGGGTGATGGACATGTAGCCACTGACTTTAATTAGAAACAGCTTAACTGAGCTGTGGTTCTTTATGGGGAGGGGGCCGTCTTTGATCCAGTGGCATTTAGCACCCTCCCTTTTTGTACTGAAGGGGGGATATTGGATGAGCAGCTAAATCCCATTAGTGGCTAATCCAAGAAGGGCCCTGCTCACCCTCATGACATCGGATTGGGCTCTCCGTTCCGCTCACTGCTCTGAAATGAGAACAGAAGACACCAGGGTCTAAAAAAAATACTTCCCATACCCCTCCTCATTCTACATAAGTACCTTGTCTTACCTTTTTGATGGATGGGAGAGAAGGCAGCCATTGAAAATGCTTGAAAAGGGGAAGGGAGCTGCATGTTTAATCTGTTGCACTTAAAAGGCTAGACTCTGGGGCAATAAATTTTCCAATAACAGTTGCAACACATGCATGGGAAAACTAAGACCCCTGTTTATCATCACCAGCCCATTAGCAGAAACCCATTTTATAGTTGCCTTATGCCAGCTCACACTACCTGTCTGGTACTGATTACCAGTGGCTCTCCAGGATCTTGGAGAAAAAGAGAGACCTTTCACGTTGCTTACTATTCAGAGAGGCAGAAACATGCAGCCTGCCCCACACAAAGTGTGTGTCTTGTCACAGAGCTATGGCACCTTTTTTCTGCATGCATTTTGGGGAATCTAGTGCCAGTGTCTGTGCTCTGTCCATGTGGAATCTTAGCCAGACTCTCATGAGAGTGAGAAGTGAGCACAGGTGGAAACATGCAACTTGCTTCCTTGTGCCTACATCTTGCGGAAAGACCTGGAGTGATAGGCAAGCTGTCTTGGAGGAGACTTGTCATTGCTAATCTCATTGAGAGGCACCAGGTTGACAACCATTGAAGTAAGACATGCTCTTTCTCCACACCCTTTTCAGGGTTGGAACAGCCAAAGTCTGGCAGTCCTAAATTGTGAGCTCATAGGTTCAGGTCAAAGCCTGTGGAGAAGATGCCAGGGAACTAAGGAAGTCTCCAATCCTGGCCATTCTCAGGTCATCCCAAGATGCAGTTGATCACTTTTCTAGGCATGATGCTTGCATCTCAAGATGTTGGTCACAAGACATAGTATGCTTTACATTTTTTTTGCTTTAAGAGTCAAGAATTGTGAGGGCTTTCATTTTTGCTATCTTGTAGGATGGGCATTGTAGGAACACTGAGATTCTGGAAACGATGTTGGCGATTCTAAGAAACAAAACATCTGCCTTAGAGCCTCCATCATGCTAACGTCTGCTGCTCATGTAGAGAAGAGAGGCCTTTGTAACAGGACTCTGCATTGTGGCCAAAGTAGCTTCTGAATTTGCATTACAGATCTGATTCAGCTTAATTTCTGAAGCTGCCTGCAATGGCTGGAGTGTTGCAGCTCAAACAATTACAGTGGCAAGAAGAAGCATGTATTGAGGATACTGTCATTGTTTTCCCATCAAGAGGGCAACCAATTTTAATGACATCCAATCTCAACCTTTCAAATGGCCTATATAGAGGGCCTTAAACTTTATCACATGAGTACATCTAGAAGGACAGGTGTCTTAAATTGGGATTAGAGAACCTTTGAGATGGTTTAGACTGTCCCAGCCACCATGGCCAGTGGTAAGGACTAATCTGGAAAATCTGGATGGTCAAAATTCCTCCACTCCTCTTGGAAAGAAGACATTCCAGATGTTAACATTTGATCTTGGTCTCAATAGCAACCGCCTCCCCAAGTATACAAAGGAAATCTCTCTTTTTCCCCTTTTGACCCCCTTTCACCCCTTGCTTTGTAATATTTAATACTGTAAATATACAGGATGATATGAGATGGCTCAAGTAAGTGAATGGAGGAGAAGAAGCTGCTGCCTGGGGAGCTGTTGCCTAGTATTCCACAGAATAAACGGTAGGATATAGAGGTAGCCATGGGGATCAGATTTGAAATCATAATGATGTGAGGTCGTCGGCACCAGCCGAACCATTATGCTCTTTTCTGGGACACTCCAGCCCTGCTCCATCCTCCCCAAACAGCCATCATTCTTAGCCCACAGAACACGATTCGTCCACACAGAGTAGTCGTGTTTGGTTCTCTACACACACACACACCTGATCCTCTGCAATAACTTTGTGTACTTACACGAAGCTTGACGTTTCCCCCAAACCTACAAATTTTGTCGTGTTCTGTAGGGATAATGCCACTTCACCTAAACACAGGAAACTGGAGAACCAAAATTGCTAATCATACGTACTATAAGCCTATTTAAGATTCTCTTCAGATGTTAACATATTTTAACTAGGCTTGGTGATTATGGGTATGGTGGGCCTAGTGGGGAGACCAACAAGAGGCCTGAAGAAGAGAAGTTCTTATACCACTGTTTCCACAGGTCTGCCCTGAGACGTTTTGTTCCCTAAACCAAAGAACAAAATGGCACAAAAGCTAGTGGAGCTGGCAGCTGAGTTTTTGTTCTAGCAAATGAGAGCACCTGAAGGGACGAGCCTTGCTTAGGGGGTGGAGGGCAAGCTGTAGGGCACACCGTTTGCTGTTTCAGCCTCTGATACTCAGGCAACTGACTCACTCTGCCTCATAGCAGGGCCGGCCTTGTCTCCCGCTGTGGGTTGAAAAAAACGGTTTGTTGAAGCCTACAAGAATGGAGATTCTATTAGGAAATCATAATAAGATGGCCATATATCCTACATTACAGAAGATAGGCCTCTATTTGAGGGTGTGTTCATCTAGGCTTGCCCAGAACCAGTTTTAAAGAAAAAAGAATCACAAGAACAAGAGGAGGGGCCTTGAAGTGCCCCAATTATAGTGGGTATCTGGACACCAAGTCAGTCCTCCCCTTTGTAGGGAGTTGTATTGTATTTCTATTTCACTAATAAACATTGTTTTTAAGCTTGCATCAATGAAGGAGAATAAGCACAAGGGACATGGTGGCACTGCGAGTTAATCCACAGAAGCCTCTGTGCTGCAAGGTCAGAAGACCTGTAGTCATAAGATCGAATCTATGTGACGGA